GTGGCCAGCTCAGCCCACCAGGGGGCGGGGCTGGCTGGCATGTGGTGCTGGGGGATTGAACTGCGGTCCCTGTGCTTTGCTGAGCTTGTTCTAAGTAGGTGCTTTAGACCACTGAGCCATCTCTCCAGCCCCTACCTAGTGTTCTTATACATATATTTTATGTGAAAATAAACACTTTAAAATGACAAATGGAATTTCCCTAGTTGTAATTAGATGGAATAATGGCATCTTATTTTTTCCTTGGCTTTCAGACTAACACAATTGAAAATGAATTGCACATCACAAGAATGTTAAGTGAAAGCCAAGAACTATGCTTTTCAGTAAGAAGCAAAGTGAACTTTTACTGCTCAGATGATGGGATTTGGAGTGAATGGAGTGAGGCACAATGCTGGGAAGGTACGAGCTAACAGGACGGTAACTAAGTAGCTGGAACTGTTTGCTAGCAAAATTAATTTTTTTCTGTCTGTTTTTGCAATCGTGGAGATCAAAGGCTTTTGCATATCTTCGTCTATACATACAGAAGACAAGTTCTCAAACACTTCAATCAAACTTAGATTTATGGAAGGTCATGGCCGCCCACTTGGATCCCTTCCATATCAGAAGCTTTCTTTCTCTCAATAAATACTGCCTACTCTTAAAAAAAAAAAGAAAAAAAAAAAAAAAAGGCCGGATGAAGTCTAATTTTCATTTAAAAATAAGAATCTTGTTATGCTATTAGGAAAATACTTGGTTTCCTGTCAGTAAAAAGAACATGCTAGTTCTTTTCTGGGTGGTGGGGAAAGCAGGAACATATTTTAATTGTGATTTTTTTTTTTCTGGAACTGGGGATTGAACTAATGCCCTTGCGCTTGCCAAGGAAGCACCTATTCCCCTGAGCCATCTCCCCAGCCCCTGGAACATATTTTAATCAATATTTTCTTAAAATTTTTTCAGTTTCAAAGAAAACAGAAGGATAAGCTTGCCTTCCATACATTTATTTCCAAATGCCTAGTGTTTTGCTGAATGAATATTGTTCTAGTTTAGAGCAATATTCCTGACGGGAATATTGTGGCTGTCACTCAGTTGTGGAGGGCTTGCCTTCCAGGCATGAGCCCCAGGGTTGATCCCCAGCACTGTAAAATGAAAGCATGTGTTATGTGTAGTAAAGCACATATCTCATTCACTTCCAACAGTGATTTAAAGTGACTTATAATAAAAGGTATCGAAATTACCTAGCAGTATAAACTAAAAGGCTTAGACAGTGAGGCCAAATAGGATCATGCTTCAGAATATATTAGCTTATGGTACAAATTACTAAAAATGATCCAAATTTGATATGGGTACACTTATTAGTATATATTCAGCTGTAGATACAGGGATAGTTTTCCACCACTCATTCATCTTCTTTCATGGGGTACTATTATCTCCCTGCGAATATACTGGTGTCATTTCTCCTTTTCATTGGTCAAATATTAGTAAACACCTGTTGTGTGTCAGATTCTTTTTAAGCACTGGACTTAGAGTGTAAAGAAATCTTTACCCACGTCGACCTTATGTTTTATTCCCAAGTTGAGTAAAGATGCGCAATCAGTGAAAGCCAAACATGTAATCACTAAGGGTTATGGAGAAAAAAAGAGGAGGGCAGGAGACAACTAGATGGAACTACATCAGAAAGAGTGTTGCTGGGCTGGTGAGATGGCTCAGTGGTCTAAAGCACCTACTTAGAACAAGCTTAGCAAAAAAGCACAGGGACCACAGTTCAATCCCCCAGCACCACATGCCAGCCAGCCCCGCCCCCTGGTGGGCTGAGCTGGCCACACACACACAAAAAAAAAATTAAAAAAAAAAATCTTAAAAAAAAAAAAAAGAAAACTTTAAAAAAAAAAAGAGAGAGTGTTGCTGCTTGTATATTTTTCATTTTTCCCCATAATTTTATTGATAAACAAATAGCAATGAGACAGTGTCAAATCAAATTGGTAAGACAGTTTCAATAATTAACACATTGCATACATTCTTCCTAGTGGTTAATTGCTATACAAGATGCGGACATGATATCCTATTTACAAACACCATTAGAACAAATCACTCTATTCATTAAGACAATGTAACTATATATCTATCCAAACCACTTTGAATACACAGATACAAAATGGACATTCATCTGTATCCCCTTTTTTTGTTGTTCCGTTATTTGAATATTTTTCATTTTTGTAATCACTACTAGAAACGTGGAAACTTGTATACAGTTATTTTCTGAATTATGTATTGTGCATTGTACACATTCAATATAGTGAGGGTTTTTTTTTTTTTTTTGCGGAACCGGGGATTGAACTCAGGCCCTTGTGCTTGCCAGGTAAGCCTTATTCTACTGAGCCATCTCCCTGGCCCCAATATGTTGAGTTTTTGACAGACTTAAAAGTAGACATCAGTTTTTTGGTTTTTTCTTTAATTTATTTTTTTTTTCCGGTACCAGGAATCAAACTTAGGACCTTGCATTTGCCAGGCAGGTGCTTATGCTGCTGAGCCATCTCCCCAGCCCCTTCAGTTTTATTTTAAAAGGGGAAACGGGCCGGGGAGATGGCTCAGTGGAATAAGCACTTCCCCGGCAAGCGCAAGGGCCTGAGTTCAATCCCTGGTTCTGAAAAAAAAAAGGGGGGGAAACAATGAAACAGAATTTCAAAACAAGATAATAGGAGAATAACAATGGTTAATACATTGTGCGCTGTTATCTTCAAAGTACTAGACATCTTTTTACGTGTTTTATGCACGATCGTACCTGTGGGTTTTTTTTGTTTTTGGTACCAGGGATTGAACTCAGGACCTTGTGCTTGCCAGGCAAGCTCTTATTCCACTGAGCTATCTCCCAGGCCTTTATCTGTGGTATTGATGACTGAGTTTTCTTTTGCCCTGATGGAGAAATGTCTTGGTAGAATTTTAAAAACGTTGAAAAATTAAGAACAAAAAATTTCTTGAGTTGTATATAGTCTTAGTTTTTTAGACCATTTCTTGTTCGATGCTTCAAATTACAGAAAAATAAAGTTTTGTTGTTTTGTGGTAATGGGGATTGAACAAAGGGTTAATTTGCCAAATTGCTCAAGCTGGACTTGAACTAGTGATTCTCCTGTCTCAGCCTTTCAGAGTGCTGGGATTACAGGCATGTTCCAAAGCACCAGGATAAGAAAATGCTATGTTGGGAAATAAAAATATATCCTTGTCATGGAAATCAAGGAGAACCTCAACAAAAGGAGCTCCTTGACACTTCACTGCTAATTTTTTTTATTCTAGATTTGATTTTACTTTGAAAAGTAAAAGCAAAGCAAGAACAAAAATCAGAAACAGAGAAAGAAACAGGACAATATACAACATGACATGTTACAGATTTTCAGACCAAGAATAGCTAATTAACAATGGTTGATATATTATCTATTTTGTTGTCATATCTGCTGCTCAGATTAGCAGATATCGTTTTGTAAGATTGGACATGTGGTTGGATATTACCACTTGTTTTCAAGAAACCTTAAATTTTGTTCTTGTCTCTTTTTTTTTCTTTACCTTCTTTTAAAAGTTTGTTTAAAGAGAGTATAGTAATAATGAATATGCTATTAGAAACAGTACACACTTAAAGAGACCAAGATGTCGGGTATTCAAGCCTGGTATTTGTATTAACACATTGCTGTCCTTGATGTAGTTGCTTAGATAGCAGCTATAAGCCTACAGAGTTAGTCAAGGTGAAAATTCTACACATTAACTGCTATTCTCAAAAGATTGAAGGAGATTTTCAGTACAATTGCCTCAGCCATCCTGTATATATACTTACTTTTTTATTTTTTTGCAGACCTGGGGATTGAATTCAGGCCCTTGTGCTTGCCAGGGAAATGCTTATTCCACTGAGCTAGCTCCCCGCCCACTACTTTCATGTTTTTCCTCTATCTTTTTTCTTTTCTCTCTTCTTCGTTGTTTAATCAAGTTCCATTTCTTTCTGTTTCACTATATCTGTTATATCTTTCAGGTTTTACTTCTTCTTTTGGATTCTTACACTAGGGAGAAAATGCGAGATTTATACATGTGGGTCTGGTTCATTTCACTTATGAGTATAGCCTCTGGTTGTGTCCAGTTACCTATGAAGGCTTAGAGTTTATCTTTCTTTATGGCTGATACTCCATTGTGTAAAACTACCACATCTTTTTCAGCCATTCCTCAGGTGATGTGCATTTTGATTATTTCCAAGATTTAGCTATCACAAATTGTGCTGCTATAAACATGGGTGCATTCACTGTTAATTTTACATGTCAGGAAATACACATTATGAGTCATTCTCTGGATTATGTCCTCACAAATCCTAAAATAAGCATATAAGTTTGGTAATTTTCTAGTAGAAAACAAGATTGTGGGGGCCGGGGAGATGGCTCAGTGGAATAAGCGCTTCCGTGGCAAGCGCAAGGGCCTGAGTTCAATCCCCAGTTCCGCAAAAAAAAAAAAAAAAACAAAAAAAAAAAAAAAACAAGATTGTAACAAAGTAGGACAAGAAAAATAGTGGCATCAGGGTAAGTTAGTAGGTCTGGCCGCACAATTCAACATGCTTTATGTTATTCCAAAACAAGTGGAAGATACTAATTTGGGAAGAACACATTTCTTCTGCTTTTTAAGTTTGTCCAGTGATTGCTCAGTCCTTCCTATGCAGAAGAACTTTTTAAAAATCCTTAAAATAATAAAACAGAAAAAAAAAACCTTGTCCTTTTCTTTTTTCTTTTTCTTTTTTTTTTTTTTTGTCCTTTTCTTTAGTCTCTAAAATGTAAGATAATTTTAAAAGTATGATCTTAAAATCAACACTCTAAAATTGATGGCTTTCCCATACATGAATGACAGACTCACTGAGAGAGAAATTAGGAAAATAACACCTTTCACAATAGCATCAAGAGGGGCTGGGGAGATAGCTCAGTAGAATAAGCTGACAAGCTTATTGCTTGCCTGCCTGAGTTCAATCCTCGGTTCTGAAAAAAAAAAAAGAATAAAAAAAATAGCATCAAAAAAAGAAATTAAAATATAGAGAAAAATAAATATATAAAATTTCAAAAACCTTTTTTTAAAAAAAGAAAAGAAACTAAATAAGAAAGAGGCCATGGAGATGGCTCAGTGGAATACACGCTTCTCTGGCAAGCGCAAGGGCCTGAGTTCAATCCCTGGTTCCACCAAAAAAAAAAAGAAAGAAAGACAGACTTAGGAATCAATATCACAAAAGAAGTAAAAGACCTCTACGTTGAATTCTTATAATTTTGTTTAGTCTGTATTGTTTCCAATGTTTTTTTTTTTTACTATATTGTATTTTATTTTAAAAATAAAAATAAAAAGAATGCAAGTAGAGCCAAGAAAACTACACTACTCTGAAAAAAAGAGATTGAAGAGGTTTTCAGAAAATGGAAAGACAGGGTCGACCAAATAGCTCAGCAGATTAAAATGCCTGCAATCAGGTGCAGGGGCCGGGGTTCGAGATACCCAGGCCTGCCATGTTGGCCCCATCTTCGGGGCTTGCTGAGATGGCAGTTGACACTGGGAGTGTAATCCTAGGTCTCGGAAGGCTGTAAACAGATGGATCACTATGAGTCTGATATAGTAGTGAGATGCTGAACACTCTGTATACCCTTCCCCCAAAAAATTGCAATGGCGTATCTCACAGAATTAGAGAAAAACAATCCTAAAATTCATCTGGAACCAGAAGAAACCTAGAATAGCAAAGACAGTTCTAAAGGCAAAGCAGGGTTCTTTGCAATCCCTGACTTACAAAACAGCATGGTACTGTGAAAAGAACAGACCTGAGGGCCAATAGAACAGATTTGAATGTGCAGAAATAACTCTAGACATACTTAGCCACCCTATCTTTGACAAAGGAGCCAAACAGCTTCACTGGAAGAAAGACAGCCTCTTTAATAAATGGCACTGGTAAAACCGGTTTTCCACAGGACAGAGATTAAAACTAGACCCATATCTTTCACCATGTACTAAACTAAGATTACAGTGTATCAGAGATCAAAATATTAAAATAGAAAACCTAAGTCTGCTGGAGGATAGACTAGGTAGAACTCTTGAAGACTTTGGTGTAGGCAAAGACTGTCTCAGCCAAACCCCAGTTGCACAGGAACTATCGCATGGAATCAATAACTGGGATCTCATCTTTAAGAGTTTTTCCACAGCAAGAGAAATCACCAACAAGAGCTGGCTAAATAGCTCAGCGGGTTAAAGCACCTGCTTAGGCAGATGCAGGGGCTGGGGGTTCAATCCCCAGGCCTGCCGTGCCAGCCCTGCCCCCAGGGCGCACTGAGAGGGTGATTGAGACTGGGCGCGGTGGCACACGCCTGTAATCCCAGCGCTTGAGGGGCTGTAAACAGGAGGATCACTGTGAGTCCAATCTGCATAGTGAGACCCTGTAGACCCTGTCCTAAATACATAAAGAGAGAAAGAAATCACTAACAGAGTGAAGAGATAACACACAGTATAGGAAAAAAAATTGCTAGCAATTCATAGGACAAAGGACTAATATCTATAGCACATAAAAATCTACAGAAAATCAGACCTCCAAATTTAAAGACTCAATCCAAAAATGGGCATCTGAGATGAATACACACTTCTCAGATGAAGAAATACAAACAGGAAATAAGTATATGAAAAGTGCAAGATCACTGGTCATTTGAGAGATGTATATTAAAATGATGTTTAGATTCCATCTCATTCCAGAAAGAAAGGCCATCATCAAGAAATCAACCAAGGGCCGGCCAGATAGCTCAGTTGACTAAAGCACCTGCTTAGGCAGGTACAGGGGCCAGGGTTTGATCCCCAGTGTGCCGTGCCAGCCCCACCCCCAGGGCACACTGAGATGTTGACTGACCTCAGGCGTGGTGGCACGTGCCTATAATCCCAGCATTTGGGAGACTGAAAACAGGAGGATCAATACGGGTCAGATGTGTGAAATGAGACCCTGTAGACCCTGTACTAAATACAAAAAGAAAAATGAGAAATCATCCAATAACAAATGCTGGAGAGGCTGTGGGGAAAAAGAAACCCTTCTTCACTGCTGGCAGGAATTTAGACCAGTGCAACCACTGTGCAAAACAATGTGCAGGTTACTCAGACAACTAAGACTAGAGGTTCTATTCAACCCAGCTATTTCCCTTCTTGGTATCTTGCTGAAAAAATTAAAAGCATAATACCACAGTGATAAATGTATACTCATGGTTAGGGTGGCACAGTTTGTAATAGGCACATCTTGGAAACAGCCCAAATGCCCATTAACTGATGAATGGAAAAAGAAAATGTGTAGGGTTTTTATACAGTGGAATAATACTCTGTTATAAATAAGGAGAAATTTGAGACATTTATAGGAAAATGGATGCACCTCAAGAACATATTCTTTTTTTTTTTTTGGTGGAACCAGGGATTGAACTCAGGTCCTTGCGCTTGCCAGGGAAACGCTTATTCCACTGAGCCATCTCTCCGGCCCCAAGAACATATTCTTAAGTGAAATAAATTGAGCATGTGGTAAATATTTCATTGTTTCTTTGATGTGACAAATTGAAAGTATGAGGGACCAAAATCTATGACAGATATTGTGAAATAGGAGGAAAATGTTCAAATGCTAAGGAGAACTGGGGGGAGAGAGGGAAAAAGGAAGGAAGGGAAAAGAAGAAAAGAGAATAGAAGGGAAAAAATGGAAACAACGCTTTTGTAAATGAGAGGAAGAGCAATTGAATAGAGGGTAGGAAAAGGGAAAAAGAATCAAGGTGTATTATGTATGGGTACAAATTCCCTATGATGTACGGGAACAAATTCCCTATGATGAATGTGCTGATTATGTCTACTTAAAATGTACCAGTAAACAACTTAAAACAATAAAAAATATATAAAAATGTGGCCTTGATTCTTGCTTAGTGGCTCATTCTTGCAGTCCCAGCTACTCCTGAGGTAGAGGATCACTTGATTGGAGGTAGCCAGCACTCTTCTTAAAGCCAACAGTGATGTTGAAAAACTAACTATGGAGGCAGAGACAGCAGGATAGAAAGCAGCAGCTGTTCCGCAGGGGCGAGGTGTGGACAGTGGAGCAGTGAGTGGCACCCAGCTGCCCCGAAGGGACATTATCCAGTTTCTGCAGGATCACTGTTCAGATAGACAGAGCATAAATTATAGGAAAAATGATAACCTTAGCCAGGACAGCTAACGTAAGGACCGGCACAGTTGGCCCTTGTGGCTTGTGCCTATAATCTCAGCATTCTGGAGGGGCTGAGGCAGGAGATCAAAAGTTTGATCCCAGCTTGGACAATTTAGGGACTCTGTGAAACCCTACCTCAAAACTTAAAAAGGACTGGAGGTGCAGGTAGTTCAGAGTGCAAACCCTGGTTCAGTCCCCAGCGTGTAACAGTGGGGGTTGAGAGGATTAGAGCTGCTAACAACCTTTTAGGAAGGTAGCATTTCAAGGATCCAAAAGAATAAAGTGTATGAAAAAGTGAAAAATAAGCTTAATGGAGATAAACCCAATGAAGCCATTCTGTATGTGTCCACCAAAATATAGACACTACCTTGTAAACAAGAGAGATAGGAAAATTTATACTGCTGGCATACGAAAGCACTACAGGACAGGACTGCTTTTGATTCTATCCAAATGAGAGCTCAAAGAAGAAAACTGCCATGGCTACAAGTTTTAAAGTGGGAGGAGACAAAATTATCAGAGGGTGGGACGAAGCACTCTTTTTTTTTTTTTTTTTTTTTTTTTTTTTTGGTACCAGGGATTGAACTGAGGACCCTGCGCTTGCCAGGGAAGTGCTTCTTCTATTGAGCTATCTGCCCGGCCCCAAGCACGCTTGACTATGAATGGAGAAAAGGCTGGACTGGAGAGTGAACCAGAATGCGCTTAGAGGGGGAAAGGACAGCCAGATGCTCAAATCCCATCCAATGCGAAAGCTCATTTTTTAAAGTAGAATTATGGGTATTGAAGGAAATAACACTTCAGATCTAAAAGCATCAGCAATAATGATAAAATTTGGCCTTCAAACTTATGTTAGCAGTCAGAGTGGGTTACTCTGGAAGAGGCAATTGGAAGATTCAAGGACTTCAAACTTGCTCACTTGATCCTGACTTTTGAGAAATATAACAAATCCCAGAAGTCTAAAATATTTTATTATAGCTGTGTAAAATATGGCTAAGGAGACCTGTCTTTCTTTTTACCTCACATTGTCAACGAAAAGCCTTATACCATTTTATCCACTCTGAAAAAATAGACTAACTCCATCATTCACACACATTTTAATTGAAGAGCACCTCTTACTCACTACAGCATCAGATAATATCGAGTCTATCCAACTTATTATTGAAAGTTGTGGGCCAGGGAGATGGCTCCTCAGTGGGCTGGTGAGACAGCTCAGTAGAATAAGCGCTTGCCTGGTGAGCACAAGATCAGGAGTTCAATCCCTAGTACCAGAAAAAAAAAAGAAAGAAAGTTGTGGTGGTGCACTCCGTGCCCATATCCCCATCACTCTGGGAAGTTCAAGCCCAGCAAGAGCAACTTAGTGACTTAGTGAGAACCTGTCTCAAAATAAAAAAGAGCTGGGGAAACAGCTCGGTGTGAAGGTCCTTGTTCTATCTCCAGTGCTGAAAGAGAAAAGGAAACAAAAAAGATGTAGGACATGTTTGTTTAGCCTTTTGCATAACCTTTGAATTGATTAGTTAATGAATGGTGCTGCGAACTGAATTCAGTGCCTCGCGTTTGCCAGGCAGGTGCTGCGCTGCTGAACCACACCTCCAGCCCTGTTTAAACATTTTCAAATGGAAAATCCCCAAGGTCAGTACTAAACAGACCCATACCAGGAAATAAGAAGTATGCTTTGAGAAGTTATTTTCTAAGTGAAATTAAGAGATGTTACAGGGCAATAAAGTAGTTGTTCTGTGTAAAAATGAAAGGAACAGAGAATTCAAGCACCGCTGTGGTAGCTCTGCACTGGCAAATACAGTGGGAGTTACCAGGTCTAATAAAGTTCTTCACCATTTACTAGGAGTATATTTGTAAGACACTTATTTCAAAAATAGTTACAAATCTCTAACTCTTCCCCTTTTCTGTGATTTTTGATCCTAGGCGATGGACTGAAGGAAACTTGGCCATTTTTCGTGATACCATTTGGTCTTATCTCATCATTTCTGTTGTTACTAACTTGTCTGCTTTTGCATAAACAAAAAGCTTTGCTGAAATCAGTAAGTTATATATTATAATGTTTAGTCTAAGACAGTAGATAACAAGAGACGTTCTGCCTTTAGAACCCATGGGGCTACATTTTCTAATTTTACCTGCTCCCTCAGAGTATGGAATTGATGCTGTATGCATTGTGATGAGCTCTGCAGAAAATTCAGTAACTAGAAAACAAGAATACATTTTGGTGTGTGGGGGTTACTTTTGTTAAAAAAGAAAAATAAAGCTTTAAATCATGAAACATGATTCAGTTTTAAGTTAGGGAACAGTATAATGAAAGAGGCTCAGAAGAAAAGCAAGTTGGGGGAAAGGAGGAGACGGCAAATAGGGGAAAAAATATTACCAATGTGTGCCTGAGCAGGAGATTCCATCAAAATGATAAAATGCGGCACCTGCACTCAGAGCTCATGTGTTACTTGGGGAAGACAGAATCCCTGCAAAAGTATACACTGTGATAGACTTTATTTATTATTATTATTACTATTATTATTATTATTATTATTTTTTTTTTTTTTGGCGGAACCAGGGATTGAACTCAAGCCCTTGCACTTGCCAGGCAAGCACTTATTCTACTGAGCTATATCCCCAGCCATCTGTGATAGACTTTAAAAGGTTACTATTTAAGTTGTGCAGATAATATTGTAAGATTTTAAAAAATGAGGAGAACACTAAGTGTTGGAAAACTTTAAAGAAAAACTGTGACTTGAAGAAAAAAAATCTAGGGGGCCAGGATGATAGCACCAGGTCCTGTGTTCAATCCCTGGTCCTGCAAAAAAAGAAGAAGAAGAGGAGGAGGAGGAAGAGGAGGAGGAGGAGGAGGAGTAGAAGAAGGAGGAGGAGGAGGAGAAAAAAAAATCTTAACACTATGACTTTTCCTGATAGAAGTGTATGAAATGTTTCACTTTGTGTGAGGAATGATTTTATGCGTATTTCTTTCTTTTTTTTTTTTTTTTGCGCCGAATGCCTTCAAGGCATGACTGGCTGTCTTGTGTTGTGGGGATCGAACCACAGCAACCTGAGCCTGACTGCTTTGTTGAAGCAGCCACTTAAAGAACTGAGCTAAGGGGCAGGCCCCCGCGTATTTCTTTTGAATTATTAATGTGCAGTGAAATTGTGTTGTTCATGAGGATTTATTAATAACAGTGCTCTTTCTAAATTTCAGATTTTCCATATGAAGAAAGAAGTTTTTTCTCAACAAGAGACATTCTTTTGACTTACCAATTTTTATCTACAAGGCCAAATGTTAGATAGCAGTCTTGTGAAACTGAAATTCTTCTTCAAATGTTGAATACGTCTCGCTGGAAAGCATGGTTATATTATACTTAAATAGGCCATAGAATATGCACACCCTGAAGTAGCAGTACATTTATTGGATTCTACTAGTATGTTTCTTCTTCATAAATTGTGGTGAGAGTGCTGCACGTAGACTCAAGGGATGAGCCAGTTTGTTCAAATGATGCAATAATAAAACAATGTGATTTTGCAATCTTCACTAAGTCATAGATACATTGCCAAATCTTGGAAAATGAGGTTTAGTATTTTTCTTTTGTCACTGTTTTCATTTGTTTTAAGTTTCACTCTGACTGAAAGTGTTCACCATAAGATCCGCATTAAAAGTACCTGAGGAGTGACTAAGAAGGAAACAGTAAGTTTTAAATGTGCTCATAGGCCCCAGTGTGTGTGTCACATTTCATGAAAGAAAAATAAAGAAGGGGGAAATGTAGTGACAATTATCTGAATAATTCAGAAGTCATAAGCTACATAATAAGCTCTGAGATTTCCTGTACCAGTTGGGAGGTAGTCTTTCATAGTTTCTGATGTGTGTATGTGTGTAAATGGGGATTGAGCTCATGCTTGCATTTCCATCCCTTCTTAAGTTTCTTTTCTTAAGTTTTATTTTATTTTATTTTATATGTATTTAGGACAGGGTCTACAGGGTCTCACTGCGTAGGTCGGACTCGTAGTGATCCTCCTGTGTTCAGCCTCCCAAGCACTGGGATTACAGGTGTACACCACCATGCCCAGTCTCAATCACCTTCT